CCATTTCTGGTGTCCCCCGACGTGATATTGTTGAAATATTGTTAAAAGCGGCGTAAAACCATACTCAGTCACACCCCACTCACTCACTCACATTGTGATTTGGACCCTTTACGATCTTTCTAAGAATTTCTATTCAGATTCTTACACTGCCGTGAGCGCCAAAAATATCTTTTAGCTACATCAAGATATGGTGACTAAATATTGACAAGTGTGTATTTGTACCAAGCCGACGTAGTAGTGTACCCAATCTTGCATTTCTGGTGTTCCTGATATTGGTGGAATATTGCCAAAAGTTCCTTAAAACTAAACTCACTTACTCACTCACTCACTCACAGATCCTCCCTGACATAAAATGAAGGTAAATCAGTCCGATTGACGCATTTGCAATGACGTAATATTTATGTATGTATGTCAGTTATTTATTGTATTCTCCCCAGGGAAGTGAGAACGGCATTGGAATGCACACTGCTCTGAGGCAATGTTAGCATGGAATTTAAGTGTGCTGACGTAAGTCATGAGTTATTGTTATTATTTACTTCCAGTGACAGATCGGCATGCGGAAGGATGATAGGCTTTCACATCGACTGAAATACGCAATTTACTTAACCCCAATTCGCCAAGTGTAGGTGCGTGCATGCGTGCTCGCGCGTGTGTGTGTTGTCACATCTGGGCAGGGCAAATACGAAAAGAACCCCATCACTATAACTGGTCAGGATTGCAAGTGAATCTCATAGATCACTGACCAAAAGGTTTAGAGAACTTCAGTTTACTTTAATCACTGCGCCAGCATCTTCTATAAAACCTATATTGCACCGAACCACACAGTCTACTGTACCACAGGTCATTGAATCACACAGTCTACTGTACCACAGCTCATTAAACCACACAGTCTACTGAACCACCGGTCATTGAACCACACAGTCTACTGTACCACAGCTCATTAAATCACACAGTCTACTCAACCACAGCTCATTAAACCACACAGTCTACTGAACCACAGGTCATTGAACCACACAGTCTACTGTACCACAGCTCATTAAACCACACAGTCTACTGAACCACAGGTCATTGAACCACACAGTCTACTGTACCACAGGTCATTGAACAACACAGTCTACTTAACCACATTCTAGTGAGACATGTAAACCAAACAGTTTACTGAAGCCTAATCTACCAAACCACAATCCACTAAACCCTAGTCTTCTAAACTTTTGCCTACTAAACCAGAGTCTTCTCAACCACAGTTTGCTGAACCATAATCTTTTGAACCATACTCTACTAAACCATAGTCTACACAACCAGAGTCTTAACAACCATCGTCTACTGAACCATACTAAACCTACTAAACCATAGTCTACACAACCAGAGTCTTAACAACCATCGTCTACTGAACCATACTCTACTAAACCATAGTCTTCTACTACAACCATAGTCTACACAACCAGAGTCTTAACAACCATCGTCTACTGAACCATAGTCTACACAACCAGAGTCTTAACAACCATCGTCTACTGAACCATACTCTACTAAACCATAGTCTACACAACCAGAGTCTTAACAACCATCGTCTACTGAACCATACTCTACTAAACCATAGTCTACACAACCAGAGTCTTAACAACCATCGTCTACTGAACCATAGTACTACCATAGTCTACAACCAGAGTCATAGTCTAACAGACCATCGTCTACTGAACCATACTCTACTAAACCATAGTCTACACAACCAGAGTCTTAACAACCATCGTCTACTGAACCATACTCTACTAAACCATAGTCTACACAACCAGAGTCTTAACAACCATCGTCTACTGAACCATACTCTACTAAACCATAGTCTACACAACCAGAGTCTTAACAACCATCGTCTACTGAACCATACTCTACTAAACCATAGTCTACACAACCAGAGTCTTAACAACCATAGTCTACTGAACCAAAGTACATGTATACTGAAGAATCGTCTTCTCACCCATATCACTGAATCACAGTCTACTCATCCAAGCAGTTTATTAAACCACTGAATCTACTGAAACACAATACATGTATACTGAACCTGAACCACAGTGTACTGAACCATAGTCCGTTCCAGCAAAGTTTACTGAACCACAGCATGATGAACCCTCGATTTCGGATCACAATCTACTGCCGCCTAATCTGTAGAACGCCACGGTCGTCTAGTGACTTGCAGTGTAGCCCGCTGAATCAGAGTCTACTGCATCACACGTCTATTGAAGCCTACAGTACCGAGCACACGGTACCAGCCCACTGCCTACTCGTCTGGACATTGCGGGCAGTGCTCAATGGACAATGAGTTGTCCTCCTTGGTGCCACAAATGTATACTTCAAAGATCATATACATTGTATACTAAAGTACTTCCATAGGAGTTGGATCATTGTGCTTAATTAACTGCCGGGCACAACAACATATACACCAATGGATAAAAATGGAATAAACAAGGAAAGGTTGTTCTATGTTGTGGATTACGGATACTATAGTAGTCTCTTGGCCTTATGTCTGTAGAAATTCGGAACTGTTTGGTTAAATCCAATGAACGATTTCATACTTTCTAATGCTCAATTGTCATTGTGGCATTCACCGTAACGTCTTCTTTCAGGTGAACAATTGACTAGCCTTTGCATGTGTTTGTGACTGGTATCACCTGTGGGGCAGGGTATTCTTTGTATTAACATTTTCCTTTCATTGATCAGTAGTAAAATATCGGCAGTTTAACCATCAGCATTTAAAGAATTAACAGGTACGATTTCTGTGCTATTTGGGCATGGTTAGAACAATGTTCTCTGTTCAGGGCAAAGTGGGGTACCTTACTAGCAATAGTGTTACCCTAGATCTTGTTTGAAACAGAACTGAAAGCTTCGTTAAATCTCTCACTCACTCACTCTATTACCTACCTTCTGGCACACACACCGGGTTTTCCATGTTGACGTAATTAGGTATGACGCCCTTGCATGAGACATTCTTCGAATACACTATCGGCAGTTGGTCCCGCCATCTGAAGGAACAGCTTTCCTGCCAGAAACATTTACTTTTCTGCTTTTTAAGTTCATAGGTCAACCCGCTGCAGTCGCCATCTTGATATGCACAAGTGTTGCTCTCGCCTTTGCCAACAAAGATGACCGGTTGGTATACAACGTGACCTTGTGGACACCTGAAGGTCACCCTGTCTTCTACTTTCCCGATACATTTAGACATGAGACCATGAGTGTCTGGAATGGAATGTATTGAATTAATTAAATCATGAATTTGTACACCGCGTTTACTGCTATTCATCTCCGGTAAATATGGGATTACTAAACGAGTGGTTACCTGTTGTTTCCACTGGCTAGACCTCATATTACATTACCAGTAGAAGTAGTAGTAGTAGTAGTAGTAGTAGTAGTGGTAGTAGTAGTAGGAGGAGTAGTAGTAGTAGTAGTAGTAGTAGTAGTAGTAGTAGTAGTAGTAGTAGTAGTAGTAGTAGTAGTAGTAGTAGTAGGAGGAGGAGTAGTAGTAGTAGTAGTAGTAGTAGTGGAAATTTTACTCTTATTTTTGAAGATACGTCCATATGGTTCGGGTCAATTTGTCAATAATGCCTTCAAATGTCATCGGAAGGTAACAGAGAAAACGATATGTGAAATATCCATGTAACATGTGGTGCTAAGATGTTTTGGCAAGAAGTAGGCATCCCCAAAATCCCCAATCGTGCTCTCCAGCCTGATGATCTGTTTGTTTATGAATATGATTAGGAACCTTCGCACAGATGTGTGCAAAACTAAAATAATAATGAATCTAGCTTCCGGTATATGGAGGATCTTTTAATATATCCATTTACCTTTACAAATTTTAGGCATCAGCGAAATAAAAAGATTCATAACTCAATTTTTATGATGCATAATGGACACTTTGTGAGTGAGTATGGTTTTAGCAATATTCAAGCAACATCACGGCGGGGGACACTAGAAATGGGCTTCACATATTGTACCCATGTGGGGAATCGAACCGGGTCTTCGGCGTGAAGAGCGAACGCTTTAACCACTAGGATACCCCTCTGCCCCGAGACACTTTGTGTAATTATGGGGAAATCCCCGCATTGGGGAAATCCCCACATCACGTAATGACGACGCAGCCTGTATAACTTGTATAACAAGCTTTGAAAAGTATTTTAATCACATCAGGTACATCCACCCATCCATCAATCCATACATACATACATACATACATACATACATACATACATACATACATACATACATACATACATACATACATACATACATACATACATACATACATACATACATACATACATACATACATACATACATACATACATACATACATACGTACGTACGTACATACGTATGTACGTACATACAGATATAGATATGTATACAGACGTAGGATACAACGTCACTCATATATGTAACGAAAGATGGTAAAAAGCATATGCAAAAAGGTACTTATACATGTACAAAAGTGATAGAGTATCCACAGAAAATATGTTTTCTTTTTTTAAGTATTAAAATGCAGGTTACGGCCAAAACCTGTTAAAACACGAGGAACATGACTTTTTGTAGTTTGACAATGTTAAAAGGTTAGACTCTTCGGCCGTAACAGTTGTGAAAAGAGCTATTCTAAAATCATCACATATGGGACTCTGTTGTAAAACATGCTCTTCGTTTTTCAATAAATTCATTACGGTTAAAACAGGTATATGGAGGATCTTTTAATATATAGATTGTCCCGATCTGTTCACATATTTCTTTTATATTTTTTTTAAACTTAAAGGTGTACCTCTGTACCTCTCGGCATCTAGTACAGCGAGTGGTCTGGGTTTTATACATTATTCCAGCTATGTTAGGGTGTGTCAGCAGGATGTGGAAGTTAAACGCAGTGAGTGAGTTTAGTTTTACGCCGCGTTTAGCAATATTCCAGCAATATCACGGCGGGGGACACCAGAAATGGGCTTCACATATTTTACCCACGTGGGGAATCGAACCCGGGTCTTCGGCGTGAAGAGCGAACGCTTCAACCACGAGGATACCCCTCCGCCCCGAGACACTTTGTGTAATCATGGATAGGTTTTTGTTCCTTTGAAATGAATGATATTTCTGCCTGGAATAAATCAATACACGAAATACCTACACTGATACATACACAACACAGAGAGAAGGGGGGGGGGGGGGGTGGTCGTAATACAGGGTTTTGTTTGCGTGGGTCGAATTTTGTGATCTAAACGAGGGGAGTCGATCTGAATCGATCGATCGTTCAGCCAATCTGGAGAGAGAAACACACAGCCAGACAGAGTGAAACAGAGAGGTAGGGAGTATGTGAGACAGTGTGTGTTTGGGACACTGTATGACACGGTAGGTGTGTCCGTCACGGTACACTCAGCCCTTATGGAAATCCCCACATCACGTTATGACGACGCAACCGTTTTCCTTTGGAGCACATGTTTTTGAGTAGTCTTTCATTTTTATAACAAGCTTTGAAAAGTATTTTAATCATATCAGGTACATACAGACAGACAGACAGACAGACAGACAAAAGTGCCTCATGTACAAAGTATCAACATGTCTTTACATAGGCATGATGTGTTGTCACATCAACACATCCCTACAGGTATACGGCACATGCATGCGAATACACACACACACGTATACATACATCCAAAATATTCCCATAACTAGCATACTCACAGTATACGGGTAGCACAGACAGCATGACGATACACGACCACATGACTGTGAGGTATATAATCTCAAAACTCAGTGTGTGTCAAGATATAGTCAAACACTTCCGCATTGGGGAAATCCCCACATTACGTTATGACGACGCAATCTTTTTACTTTGGAAAACATGTTATTGAGTAGTCTTATAGTTGTATAACAAGCTTTGAAAAGTATTTTAATCATATGATGTACATCCACCCACCCATCCATCCATCCATCCATCCATCCATCCATACATCCACATACATACATACATACATACATACATACATACATACATACATACATACATACATACATACATACATACATACATACATACATACATACATACATACATACGTATGTTCGTACAGACACTTAGACAGATAAAGATATAGATAGATATATACAGATATTTATACAGACGTAGGATACAACGTCACTCATATAAGTAACGAAAGACGGTAAAAAGCATATGCAAAAAGGTACTTATACATGTACAAAAGTGATTGTTTATCCACAGAAAATATGTTTTCTTTTTTTAAGTATTAAAATGCAGGTTACTGCCAAAACCTGTTAAAACACGAGAAACATGACTTTTTGTAGTTTGACAATATTAAAAAGTTAGACTCTTCGGCCGTACCAGTTGTGAAAAGACCTATTCTAAAATCATCACATATGGGACTCTGTTGTAAAACATGCTCTTCGTTTTTCAATAAATTCATAAGGGTAAAAACAAAATCTATCCTCAAAATTTAAATTTAATTCAATTTTAAGCAGCCCGTTTCTGTTCCCAAAGGTGCAATACCGCATCTATAGTTTGCAAAAGCGAAACGGTAACTCCGGGGCATAAACGTGTTGACATATTTTGTCAGAACAATACAACTATTTAAAAGATCTGTAGCTACGGAGCTTAGTTCTACTAGTAACATCATTATCTTTCCATAAACGTTCTTGCCATAGTAAAGGGGCGGTGGGGTCGCCTAGTGGTTAAAGCGTTGGCTCGTCGCGCCGAAGTCCCGGGTTCGATTCCCACAGGGGCACAATGTGTGAAGCCCATTTCTGGTGTCCTCCGCCGTGATAGTGCTGGAATATTGCTAAAAGCGGCGTAAAACCATACTCAGTCAGTCAGTCTTTAGAGGAGAAGTTGACGTCCATAATATTTTGTCTTTTCTTGAATATCAACTTTTTTTCTTTTCTATTTTGTTTTTGTTTTTTGGGAATACCAACTTCTATATGCCTCTCAAGAAACCGTATCATAACATACATGTACATGTACCCAAAGCCTCCAAGCAGTCTTTCCTTTTCACTGCTCATTGGGGAATTTGTACAGATAAGTTTAGTATTTAAACGAGGAATGATATTTAAAATAATTTAGGATCTAATCCACTGACACACCTACTGAATGCAATATTCCGACATCTAAACATGTTTAGAATCCAAGAGGTTGGAGTTAAAACATGCTTAAGGCAAAATGCATTACGTATAATATCCTGATAACATGAACTGAACATGAAGGAAGTTCTATGGATAGTCAACTTCTTTATTACAATGAGTGCGACGTTTCGGTGTAGGTACTAACACCGATATCAAGCAAGCCTCACTTATACTACCTATAACAAGCTTGATACAATATACATACAAAGGTAAAATTACCACCAATGATTTTAAATTCAGATCCTATACATGGCTAGACCTAAATTCTTCTTAATTCTGTACAAGGAACATGTTTAGTTTTGTGTTTAGAATATATACACGGTTTTTTACAGGAACTATCCCTATCGTTTTATATGTTATAGGGGCGCAAAGCTCAGTGTGGGGCCGTGGGGTAGCCTAGCCTTAGTGGTTAAAGCGTTCGCTCGTCACGCCTAAGAGCCGGGTTCGATTCCCCACATGGGTACAATGTGTGAAGCCCATTTCTGGTGTCCCCCGCCGTGATATTGCTGGAATATTGCTAAAAGCTAAAAGCGGCGTAAAACTAAGCTCACTCATTTCCCAAAGATCGGTGAAAATGTGTCAGTGTAGTTCGAAACATTGGTTGTCACGAAGCACGCACTCTCTATGTAATGTGGGCGGATTGTGGTTCGTGGATAGGATGTTTACGTAGTGGATGATGTGACAGGAAAATATCGAGTTGGGCGTAATCATCAGTGTTCTGTAATGTCACTGGTTATTGATGAGGAAATGACGGGTGCAATATATCCACTTACCCACACATTGGTAGGTCGAACCCGGACGTTGAACGTGACGAGGTATCATCCTACCCACCAGGCAACACCATTGCCAGTATCACGTGCAGGTGTTGAATAAAGAACATATTCCACGAATTATCGATCAGGATACAAGTTTGGCACAATGTCCGATCATGCACGTGGTCGTTGAACTAAATGTTGTACAATTTAGGGATCCTGATATCCAAAGTTCACGCGATTGTTGCACGTGACTTATGAATGACGTTCCCTGTTCAATGTCTTTCAAGCAACAGATGACTATGCTGAATTCCAACTGTGCTTCCTGGGTATTGGGATTCAAAATCCGTGTCTGAAATCGTAAATGGACAGTTTTGTTTGTATATAGCCACGGAGACATAAGACACGCGGTGCATTCCAATACGTTTCTACTCTTGAAGACATATTTGAGGTATAACATAACAGATTTGGAATAGTGATAGTTTGTTATTGCTATAAATAAATTGGTGTACTGAAGGTACAACATACACAATGTTATTTTCGCTACAATTACACTTGTCATATCTCAGTTTGAATTAAGATGACTTTACAGAGGTATCAACCCATTAAACAAACCTCGAAATCCAATAGCAGGCCGTTATGTTGACTGAAATTCTTCATGGAATACAATGAAAACCTCATCAGTCTCCAATTATTTGCTACAAGTATATATTTAGGGATGGAGGTTTGGGCATGGGTAGGAGCTTATTAGTATTACCCGACTAATATAAAACGAATATAACCAAATGGAAGAACATACTAACCATGCCATAAACATGTTTATCTCTAATTTGACACTGATACCTAGAGTGAGTGAGTGAGTGAGTGAGTGAGGTTGCTTTTACGCCGCTTTTAGCAATATTCCAGCAATATCACGGCGGGGGACACCAGAAATGGGCTTCACATATTGTGCCCATGTGGGGAATCGAACCCGGGTCCTCAGCGTGACGAGCGAACGCCTTAACCACTAGGCTACCCCACCGCCCCTGATACCTAGAAGGCCTGTTTATCTTTTAGAAGACGCATACATGTAGCACACCGTACACATCGGTATTTGGGTTATCTGCTATGTTGTTTTCTAAGTGTTTTGTTTGTGTGTTTTTAATCTGATCAACGTGTAATCACAATTTTGATATCAAGATACTTACACATCAAATGCGAACATACTATCATAAGGATTCTTAAATACGTATTAAATTATACTGACGATTTATCTACGTTGTATTTTCAAGGAACACTTGCTGTTGTCCTCTTCAAACCCGGAGCACGGGGCAGCTATAACATGACCATATAGAAGAAGCTGAGTGAAAACAGCTTGTAATAATGATGATGCGATTTGTGTGCATATCTAAAGGTGAAGGACTTGCTTGATCACAGTATTAGTACCTACACCGAAACGTCGCACTCATTGCAATAAGGAAGTTGACTATCCATAGAAATTGGTTGTCCTTCATCTTTACAACTTCTAAAGTGTCTCTCAGAGGTGCTAATGTGATCTGCACATACGTGATATCAGTTGAATAAGAATACACCCTGATCGTGATAAAACACACTATGCATTGTAACGTTCAACAAATCAACAGATACATCACACAGTAGTGTAATGTACGATGTGCTTACAATTTCATTTTGAATAACCTGTCAATCCAGATGTCATTAACTCATTCACAATGAAAAGGTAAACGTGTTTACATCAGTTTCTCCTCTTCTTTTCAAACTTGGGATAATGTCTGTGAGTACTTCCTCCGGAGGTAAATAAATGCACCAGTCACTTCCATGAAGCTGCATCCGCTCTCCTGACAAACCGGAAGTGACGTACTGTAAGATTATTATCCGGAAGTGACAGAGATAGGCGGAAGCGTTCAGCTCAAAGGTGATATCAGTCAGTATGACGCGTTTCTGCTTGTGTATCGTCACATTAAGCTGCATGAAACAGACATAATTGACTAGATCCATGTTCAGAAGCAACAAAAAACGTTTTCCATTACGTTTATGTAGCTTTTTGGCCATTATTGGTCTGACAGTTCCGTTGTCGTCTACCTGTATGATTTCCTTGGATATCACAGATAGGTCGACTCACTGACATGATGATTGACCTTCCCCTTCATTCCAGATGTTGCTAGATATACACAAAGAAGTGTTTCCCAAAGGATTTAAAAGGACAGAGCGACCGAATTTTAAAAGGGGCACCCCTATTCCATTAAAGGCATGCTGTGACATATTTCCAAGTATTCTGTTAAGTTAATCATGCATAATGATTGTTAAAGACTCAAAGAACACAATCATTTCACTTCAACATAAAGTTGGAACTAAACACCACCAAGTCTTTATATCAATTATTGTAGTAAATGGCAGAGCGCCAAGAAAAAAAGGCAGGACACTGTGCCCTGCTAAAAATGCCTTGGGGAACACTACAAAGATAACGGACCCTGCTGAACCTACTGCCTGTCACACCTCTCAACAACCTCCTTTAAAACGAATGCCCGGTCATATAAAGACTTATAATTTTATTCACAGCAGTAATTTAAATTTGGAAATGTTTTCATTTTCTTCAAACCAACGAAAACAGAAAACGTCTGAAGATAGATCTGAACAAACGTATCATAACATGCATAAAACAAAATATTTTGAATGTCAACTTCTTCTTTAGAACCCCAAATCCCCCAAGCACACTTTCCCACCCCCTTCACCTGCTACTCGTTCCTACAATAGAGGGCTGTTAAACTGTGACATGTTTTCACTGTAGACTGGAGGGTCTATGTTCCATTGGTCTAGACGCAGAGTATTTACTGACGGGTCAACGATAACATTTCTATGTCTGATTCAGGTGTAGACTACGTATAGGTCTCTTTAACCAATATACATCTAACACGTTTATTGGTTTGAATTACACGCTGTAGAAAACGATCAACCAATAAAAATACATCCTGGTACATTACTGATGGCTGTGTAACATACCAGGAAGTGTAATAGTGCAGTCACATCGAACACGTGCAACGTATATACATAGATCACATCATACATATCAACAGCTGCTTATCGCGTACATTTTCTTACACGGTCCAATGGCAGCTGCTCCGTGGAGAACCCCGGGTTGAAGCAGAGCAGGAACCATGCTGTGAGAAGCGACAAAACAGTCGGGATAGTTAGGCCTGAGTTGAGTGTCTTAATTATTAAGTGAGTGCGTGAATTTAGTTTTATGCCGCACTCAGCAATATTCCAGCTATATGGCGGCGGTCGGTAAATAATCGAGTCTGGACCAGACAGTCCAGTGATCAACAGCATGAGCATCGATCTGCGCAACTGGGAACCGATGACATGTGTCAACTAGCCCAGCGAACCTGACCACCCGATCCCGTTAGTCGCCTCTTACGACAAGTAAGGGTGACTGAAGGTTCATTCTAACCCGGACCTTCACGGGTCTTAATTACTAACCTGCGGTTAAATCTGATACTCACAATACCAAAACCTAGTGTATATCTCCTTCGGACTCGATCATTTACCGTTATCCATCAACCAAGTCAGTGAGCCCGACCACCCGATCCTGTTAGTTAGAGGATTGCTGAAAACCAATTCTTACCCACATCATCACAGGTTTAGTCCATAGTCGTGCATAATGCTAAGCGAGACTCTACGCACAATCAAACTACCAGATCCCGAAGGTAGTGTTTACCTCTCTAAGCCGATCTGTGATAACGTTCAGGGCAATACTTTGTACAATCCCTTACCCAAGATCTTGGTGTAACGTCTTCTTATATCTCTCTGGCATTTGTGCATCATTGTATGATAAATAGACTTGAATAACATTTACGCAATGACGATCACACCAGCTATCAACAGCTGTCACAGCACATCAACTACAAACCTGCTGGGTATCGTGGTACATCCCACTGAAGGTACTAGCCATACAAAGACGCTGCCCATCAATCAGACTAGACATATATTTCACGACGTGAATCACCATCTCTATATTTAGAGATAAGTGGCTTGGTTCTGGAAAACCCACCCTTCACTCGTGGATAATTCCAGATGCATCCGACCGAAAGTTTTTCAATGTTGATACACGGGTTTTTTCAACAACATTTGAACATTGGCCTACCTATTGTTAAACAGTTGCCCTGTGCGTTTGCCGTTTTTAAACGACAATGTTCGCAGTGAGACAATATTACACATAATTAAATAAAGCAAGATATCACATTTACACATTTTCAAATCTGCCATGATGCCACAATCACATCTGTGCCGAAAAGCCTAGGGACCACAAAACATCACATCTACACATGTTCCAACAAGCGAAGGTATATGCACACGTTGAAGTACGCCATGTGTATCATGAACCTTTGTTCCAATAAGCAAAGACAAAAGAGACCACATGGGCACATGGTTCAATAACCATTGCCACCACATTTACACATGCCCCAAGCATTGATACCACATTTACACATGCCCCAAGCAGTGATACCACATTTACACATGCCCTAAGCATTGATACCACATTTACACATGCCCCAAGCATTGATACCACATTTACACATGCCCCAAGCATTGATACCACATTTACACATGCCCCAAGCATTGATACCACATTTACACATGCCCCAAGCATTGATACCACATTTACACATGCCCCAAGCATTGAGCATTTATCACATTTACACATATGCCCCACATTTACACATGCCCCAAGCATTGATACCACATTTACACATGCCCCAAGCATTGATACCACATTTACACATGCCCCAAGCATTGATACCACATTTACACATGCCCCAAGCATTGATACCACATTTACACATGCCCCAAGCATTGATACCACATTTACACATGCCCCAGCATTTACACATGCCCCAAGCATTGATACCACATTTACACATGCCCCAAGCATTTACCACATTTACACACCCCAAGCATTGATACCACATTTACACATGCCCCAAGCATTGATACCACATTTACACATGCCCTAAGCATTGATACCACATTTACATGCCCTAAGCATTGATACCACATTTACACATGCCCCAAGCATTGATACCACATTTACACATGCCCCAAGCATTGATACCACATTTACACATGCCCCAAGCATTGATACCACATTTACACATGCCCCAAGCATTGATACCACATTTACACATGCCCCAAGCATTGCCACATTTACACATGCCCCAAGCATTGATACCCATTTACACACATTTACACATGCCCTAAGCATTGATACCACATTTACACATGCCTCAAGCACATTTACACATGCCCCAAGCATTGATACCACATTTACACATGATAACCACATTTACACCCTTTAAGCATTGATACCACATTTACACATGCCCTAAGCATTGATACCACATTTACACATTTACACACATGCCCTAAGCATTGATACCACATTTACACATGCCCTAAGCATTGATACCACATTTACACATGCCCCAAGCATTGATACCACATTTACACATGCCCTAAGCATTGATACCACATTTACACCCCAAGCATTGATACCACATTTACACACACATGCCCTAAGCATTGATACCACATTTACACATGCCCCAAGCATTGATACCACATTTACACATGCCCCAAGCATTGATACCACATTTACACATGCCCCACATTGATACCACATTTACACATGCCCCAAGCATTGATACCACCAACATTTACACATACACACCCCAAGCATTGATACCACATTTACACATGCCCCAAGCATTGATACCACATTTACACATGCCCCAAGCATTGATACCACATTTACACATGCCCCAAGCATTGATACCACATTTACACATGCCCCAAGCATTGATACCACATTTACACATGCCCCAAGCATTGATACCACATTTACACATGCCCCAAGCATTGATACCACATTTACACATGCCCTAAGCATTGATACCACATTTACACATGCCCCAAGCATTGATACCACATTTACACATGCCCCAAGCATTGATACCACATTTACACATGCCCCAAGCATTGATACCACATTTACACATGCCCTAAGCATTGATACCACATTTACACATGTCCCAAGCATTGCCACCACATTTACACAAGTCCCAATACGTATTGTTATCATTCTTACACAAGTCCCATTAAGTATTGATACTACATTTATACAAGTCACAGTAAGTATTCCTGTCATAGTTATACAAGTCCCATAGGGTACTGAAAACACATTTAAACATGTCCCAATAAGTATTGCTGTCATATTTATATAAGTCCCAATAGGTATTGCTATCATATTTACACAAGTCCCAGTACGTATTGATACTACATTTACACAAGTCCCATTAAGCATTGCTATCATATTTACACAAGTCCCAGTAAGTATTGATACTACATTTACACAAGTCCCATTAAGCATTGCTATCATATTTACACAAGTCCCAGTAAGTATTGATACTACATTTACACAAGTCCCATTAAGCATTGCTATCATATTTACACAAGTCCCAGTAAGTATTGATACTACATTTACACAAGTCCCATCAAGCATTGCTATCATATTTGCACAAGTCCCAGTAAGTATTGATACTACATTTACACAAGTCCCATTAAGCATTGCTATCATATTTACACAAGTCCCAGTAAGTATTGATACTACATTTACACAAGTCCCATCAAGCATTGCTATCATATTTACACAAGTCCCAGTAAGTATTGATACTACATTTACACAAGTCCCATTAAGCATTGCTATCATATTTGCACAAGTCCCAGTAAGTATTGATACTACATTTACACAAGTCCCATCAAGCATTGCTATCATATTTGCACAAGTCCCAGTAAGTAT